AGTTTCTCTCCATTCAGTTTGATGTTGGCTGTTGGCTTATTGTATATTGTTTTTATTATTTTCATGTATGGTTCCTATTATTCCTGATCTCTCCAGGACCTTTATCATGAAGGGGTGTTAGATTTTGTCAAACGCTTTTTCATCATCTAGTGAGATGATCATGTGGTTTTTCTTCTTCAGTTGGTTCATATGGTGGATGACATTGATAGATTTTCTAATGTTGAACCAACCCTGCATCCTGGTGATGAAGCCTACTTGATCATGCTGGATGATTTTTTTCTGATGTGTTCTTGGATCCGGTTTGCCAGTATTTTATTGAGTACTTTTGCATCCATGTTCATGAGGGATGTTGGTCTGTGGTTCTCTTTCTTAGTTGTGTCTTTGTGTGGCTTGGGTAACAAGGTAATTGTAGCCTCATAAAAAGTGTTTTGCAATGAACCTTATGCTTCTATTGTGTGCAACAATTTGAGGAGTATTGGTGTTAGCTCTTCTTTGAATTTCTGGTAGAATTCTGCACTGAAGCCATCTGGACCTGGGCTTTTTTGGTTGGGAGAATTTTGGTGCCTGCTTCTATTTCCATAGAGGTTATAGGTCTGGTTAAGTTGCTTATCTGTTTTTGATTCAATTTTTGTAAGTGATATCTGTCCAGAAAATTATCCATTTCCTTTAAATTTTCCAATTTTGTGGAGTACAGGTTTTCAAAGTATGACCTGATGATTCTCTAGATTTCCTCACTGTCCATTGTTATATCCTCCTTTTCACTCCCGATTTTGTTAATTTGCATGTTCTCTCTCTGCCTTTTGGTTAGTTTGGATAAAGGTTGGCTATCTTGTTGATTTTGTAGAAGAACCAACTCTTTGTTACATTGATTTTTTGAATTGTTTTCTTTGTTTCATCTTTATTGATTTCTACCCTCAGTTTGATTTTTTCCTGGCCTCTACTCATCCAGGGTGAATTTGCTTCCATTTGTTCTAGAGCTTTCAGCTGTGCTGTCAACCCTCTGGTGTGACTATTCTCTAGTTTTTTCATGTGACCACTTAAAGCTATGAACTTTCCTCTTAGAACTACTTTATAGTGTGCCATAAGTTTGGGTATGTTTTGTCTATATTTCCATTGAATTCTAGGGAGTCTTTAATTTCTTTCTTTATTGCTTCCTTGATCCAGGAATGGTGCAATTGCATGTTGTTCAATTTCCACGAGTTGGTAAGTTTTCTGTAATTTGTGTTGTTTTTGAATTCTAAGTTTAAGGCATGGTGGTCTGATAAGACACGGGTGGTTATTCCAATTTTTTGTACCTGTTGAGGTTTGCTATATTGCTGAGTATGTGGTCCATTTTCGACAAGGATCCATTTGATACTGAAAAGAAGGTATATTCTTTTGTGTTTGAATGGAAAGTTCTATAGATGTCTATTAAACCCAGGTGTTCTCACACTACTGCTAACAACCAGTAACCAAAGTAATAGACATCAGCTCATCAGAAGTAGCCTTATCTATGAACAGAGTCCCATTTTTCTTTCTGATTCTCATTCTGGTGTCTCACATATGAAGCTATGAGTTATTAACTACATATTCCATGCCATATTTTTACATGTTGCAATAGTATATTTTCTCTTTATGTAATACAACTTTTGAAGATGTGGTTTCATAGACAACACAGATTTATTTCACTTACTTTTCAAGACTAAGAGACCAAGATTTCTCAACATCTTCAAGTTGACCTCTCTTGAGATTCTCATGGTACACGGCATTACAACAAGAGAAAAGAGAGGAAAGAGAACTGAAAGAATATTATTCAGAGAGATAAAGAGAAATTTACAAGGAAAGGAAGATAGAGAAGATGGAGAAACCAGGTTTTTTGTATTTTTCTTTTCAGATTTTTAAATTTTAAATTAGAAACAAGCTTGTTTTACATGTCAATCCCGGTTTCCTCTCCCTCCCCTCCCCCTGTGCCCTCCATCAAACCCCTATCCCATCACCTTTCTGTTCCCCAGGGAGAGCGAGGCCTTCCATGGGGAATCTTAAAAGTCTGCTATATCATTTGGAGCAGGGCCTAGGCCCTCCCATGTGTGTTTAGGCTGAGAGAGTATCCCAGTGTAAAATGGGTTCTCAAGGCCCATTCATATACTAGAAATAAATACTGATCCTGTAACAGAGAGCCTATAGATTGCCCAGGCCTCCTAACTGGCACCCACATTCAGGGGGTCTGGGTCATTCCTATTCTGGTTTCCAAGCTATCATTCTGGGGTCCATGAGCTGCCCCTTGTTCGGCTCAGCTGTTTTTGTGGGATTCTCCAACCTCATCTTGACCCCTTTGCTCATCACTCCTCCCTCTCTGCAACTGGATTCTAGGAGTTCAGTTCAGTGTTTATCTGTGGGTGTCTGCTTCTGCTTCCATCAGCCACTGGATGAAGGCTCTAGGATGGCTTAAAAGATAGTCATCAATCTCATTATTGGAGTAGGGCATTTAAGGCAGCCTATCACGTTTTCTTGGATTGTTAGGTGGGATCATCCTTGTAGATCACTGGACATTTCCCTAGTTCCAGATTTCTTTTTAAACCTATAATGACTCCCTCTATTATGGTATCTCTTTTCTTGCTCTCCTCTATTCTTCCCCTGACTCAATCTTCCTCCTTCCTCATGTCCTCCTCTCTCCTCCTCTGCTCCCCTTCTGTGTCTCTTGGTACATGAGACCGCTTCCTGAACATAACACCAGTAGCACAGGCACTGAGATTGATAATTAAGAAATGGGACCTCCTGAGCCAGGTGTTGGTGTCACACGCCTTTAATCCTAGCACTCGGGAGGCAGAGGCAGTTGCATCTTTGTGAGTTCGAGGCCAGCCTGGTCTCCAGAGTGAGTGCCAGGATAGGCTCCAAAGCTACACAGAGAAACCCTGTCTTGAAAAACCAAAAAGAAAGAAAGAAAACGGACCTCCTGAAACTGAGAAGCTTCTGTAAAGCAAAGGACAGATTCAACAAGACAAAATGACAGCTCACAGAATGGGAAAAGATATTCACCAACCCCACATCTGACAGAGGGCTGATCTTAAAAATATACAAGGAACTCAAGAAACTAGTCATCAAAACACACAAAAAATAATCTAATTAACAAGTAGGGTACAAGCTAGAGAGATGCCTCAGCTGTTAAAGGCTAGGCTCACAACCAAAGATATAAAAATTAGGGTATAGAACTAAATAGAGAATTCTCAATAGAGGAATCTAAAATGGCTGAAAAACACATAGTGCTCAAAATATTTAGCCATCAAGGAAATGCAAATCAAAACAATTCTGAGATACCAACTTAATCCTGTCCAAATGGCAAAAATCAAAAACACCAATGACACTATATGCTGGCGAGGATGTGGAGAAAGTGGAACAACTTGTACAGCCACTTTGGGAATCAGTATGGTGATTCCTCAGGAAAAAAAATGGGAATCAGTCTACCACGAGATCCAGCAATTCCATTCCTGGGCATATACCCAAAAGATGTACATTCATACAACAAGGACATATGTTCAACTATGTTTATAGCAGCATTATTTGTAATAGCCAGAACCTGGATGTAACCTAAATGCCCCTCACTGAAGAATAGATAAAGAAAATGTGGTACATTATACAATGGAGTACTACTCAATGGAAAAAAATGGAATCTTGAAATTCACAGGCAAATGGATGGAACTTAAAGGAACCAGCCTAAGTGAGGTAACCCAGTCATGAAAAGATAAACATGTTATGTACTCACTCATATATGAATTTTAGACATAGAACAAAGATTACCAGCCTACAATCCACACTGCCAGAGAATCTAGGACACAAGGAGGGCCCTAAGAGAGACATACATGGTCCCAAGGAGCAGGGGAAAGGGACAAGATCTCCTAAAAAGATTGGGAGCATGGGAGGAGGGAGGAGGGAGTTAGGAGAAAGAGAGGGGGAGAAGAGGAGGGGAGAGGAGGACATGAGGGAGCAGAAAGATTGATTCAGGGGAAGAATAGAGGACAGCAAGAAGAGAGATACCATAATAGAGGAAGAGGCTACCTTAAATGCCCTTCTGTGATAATTAGATTGATGACTACCTTATATGCTGACCTGTACAAGGGGCAGCTCATGGACCCCAGATTCATAGCTGGGAAACCAGCATGAGTCTGATCCAGACCCCCTGAATGTTGTTGTCAGTTAGGAGGCCTGGAAAGCATATGGCGCCTCTTTTAGTGAATCAGTATTTGTCCCTGGTGTACAAATGGACTTTGGGAGCCCATTCCACATAGAGAGATAGATGTTCATGTTGTTTTTTTGTTTTTCTTCAGTTTGTTTATATGGTGGACTACATTGATGGATTTTTGTATGTTGAACCATCCTTGCATCCCTGGGATGAAGCCTACTTGATCATGGTGGATGATTTCTGTGATGTGTTCTTGGGTTCTATTTGCTAGTATTTTATTGAGAATTTTTTCATCAATGTTAATGAAGGATATTGGTCTGTAGTTACTGATGATTTACCCACCTTTTGTGTTCCCAGCCTTCCCTCAGATTGTGTGTGTGCGTTTTTTTAAATTGTATCTATTTCAGCTTTTTTTTAACTTAAATGTCAACACATTTATTTCCAAGAAAATAATATCAGAAACACATCTTTCAGTGTTTTAGGATTCAGAGATAGTATACTTATTTGTAAATATGAAGAAAGCATCCCTTGACTCCTCCTGTATTAATTAAGAGACAGGTAACCTGTCCAATCATCCAGGTCTCACTGCAGCATATTTGACATTATGTATACATGCTTTTCTGTCAAAATTTCTTTTTCTAAACTTTTTAAAATTTGAATTAGAAACATGATTGTTTTACATGACAATCCCAGTTCCCTTTTCCCTCCTGACGCTCCCCCACAACTAAAACCCTACCTATCACATATCCTTTCTTCTCCCCATGGATGGTGAGGCCTTTTATAGGGTGTCATCAGAGTCTATCATATACTTTGGGAGAGGGCCTAGGCCCACCCCAATGTGTCTTGGCTCAGGGAGTATTCCTCTGTATGGAATGGGCTCCCAAAATCTACAACTATTCTAGGGATAAGTACTGAACTACTATAGAAATCTATAGTCCCATAGATTTCCAAGGATTCTGCACAGAAACCCATGTTCCTGGGGTCTGGATCAGTTCCATGCTGGTATTCCATCTATCAGACTGGGGAGCAAGAATTCCCCGATGTTCAGGTCAACTGTTTCTGTGGGTTTCACCAGCTTTGTTTGGACCCCTTTACTCTTCACTTGTCTTTCTCTACATCTGGGTTCCAGTTCAGTTGTCTGATTAGTTGTCTGCTTCTACTTCCACCAGCTGCTGGATGAAGGCTACAGGATGGCATATAAGTCAGGCATCAATCTCATTATCAGGGGAGGGCATTAAAGGTACACTCTCCTCTGTTGCTTAGATTGTTAGCTGATGTCATCTTTGTAGATTTCCAGACATTTCCCTAGTGCCTGATTTGTCTGTAAACCTAAAATGTCTCCAGCTATTATGGTATCTCCATTCTTGTTATCATCTATTCTTCCCCTGACTCAAACTTTCTGCTCCCTCATTTCCTGTTTATCCCTCCTCTTCTCCCCTTCTCATTCTCCTAGCTCCCTCCTCCCTCTTCCCCTGCTCCCAATTTGCTCCAGGGATGTTAACCCTTTCCTGTTCTCCAGGGGACCATGTATGTCTCTCTTAGGGTCCTCCTTGTTTACTAGCTTCTCTGGCAGTGTGGATTGTAGGCTGGTAATTCTTTATGTCTAAAATCCGCATATGAGTGAGTACATACCATGTTTGTCTTTTTGTGATTGGGTAACCTTGCTCAGAAGGTGTCTTCTAGTTCCATCCATTTGCCTGCAAATTTCAAGATTCCATTGTTTTTTCCCCCACTGAGTAGTAGTCCATTGTGTAAATGTACCACATTTTCTCTATCCATTCTTTAGTTGAGGGGCATCTAGGCTGCTACCAGTTCATGGCTATTACAAATAGTGCTGCTATGAACATCGTTGAACAGATGTCCTTGTTGTATGAATATGCTTTTTTGGGTATATGCCTAAGAGTGGAATTGCTGGATCTTGTGGTAGAATCCTACAGCTGATAAACACCTTCAGCAAAGTGGCAGGATACAAGATTTACTCAAAAAATCTGTAGCCCTACTATATACCAATGACACATTGGTGGAGAAAGAAATCAGAGAAACATCAGCCTTTACAGTTGCCACAAACAACATAACATATCTCAGAGTAACACTAACCAAAATTGAAAGACCTGTACCACAAGAATTTTGAGTCTCTAAAGAAAGAAATTAAAGAAGATACCAGAAAATGGAAAGATCTCCCATGCTCTTGGATAGGTAGAATCAACATAGTAAAAATGGCAATCTTTCCAAAAGCAATCTACAGATTCAAAATCCCAGCACAATTCTTCACAGAACTTGTAAGAATAATACTCAACTTTATATGGAGAAACAAAAGACCCAGGATAGCCAAAACAACCCTGTACAATAAAGGAACTCTGGAGGCATCACCATCCCTGACTTCAAGCTCTACTATAGAGCCATAGTTCTGAAAACAGCCGGGTATTAGCATAAAAATAGACAGGTAAACCAATGGAATAGAGTTGAAAACCCTGATATTAACCCATATACCTATGAACAGCTAATTTTTGACAAACAATCTATTTCAGCTTTCAAACCTTGAACTGTTTGAATTTTTTCTTGCATTTCCATTTCTTGAATTTTTTGCTCGTTTTTTTTCTTCCATTTCTTTATGGAATTTTCTCATTTCCTCATTGAGGGTCTCTATCATCTTCATATAGTTGTTTTTAGAGTTGTTGTCTTCTGCTTCATCTGTGTTGGGGTGTTATATCTTGCTGGTGTGGAGTCCCTAGACTCTGGTGGTGTCACATTGGTCTTTCTGTTGTTGAATGTGTTCTTATACTGTTGTCTTCCCATCCCTTCTTCCAGTGGCTACCAGTGGTTTCTCTCCCTCTCCTAGTGGGTACAGGACCAAGGTTCCCTTCTGGTGGGCACAAGCAGGTCCAATACTCCAATGTCTCTCCTCTTCAACTCCAAGATTTGGAGGTGGGACTAATACTGAGATGTTGGTAGACTCTGGATGTGCTGTTCTGCAGGGACAGGTTCCCCCATGTGCAGGCCCCAAGCATTTGTCTTTCTCTCTCCCTTCCTCCTTCCCCTTTTATAAGGATTCACTGTTAATATTCTGTTTTTAAAGTAAAAATCATTTCTCCTTATTACAAGAACGATGCATAAAAGTGGCCACTCATGGCTAACATTTCCAACTCACCCTTGTTACCATTATACTTTTAGATGAACTATTAACATTAAGTAATATTTATCTTTTTGGTTCTTTGTCTATTATTAAATTCTACCTTCACATTAGTTTCTCCCAAATACATAATAGACAAAGAACATGAGTACAATACCAGAAGTTTCTTAGTTGCTGAGAGCTTCTGAGAAATGTATACCAATAAATAATATTTGAGCTGCTTCTTTCCAGACTGTAATACATTTTCAACCTGTTAAAAGTAGTTATTTTCTTTTTTCCCTGTTTTTCATTCAGATTTTTTATTTGAATTAGAAACAAGATTGTTTTATATGACAATCCCAGTTCCTTTCTCCCTCCCCTCCTCCCCAAAAGCAGTGGTTTTCATATCTGTTAACATCAAAACAATCTTAGTTGATTAACAATATATAATTGATTAACATTTTCTGTTATAAATTTTGAACCTGTTAAAAGCAGTGGTTTTCATATCTGTCAACATCCAAACAACCCTGCTTGATTCAAAAGATATTTTTGGTCACACATTTCATTTCATTTAAACTAAGAAGGAAATAAAATTTTCTATCTGTTCACAGATTGGTACCTTCCTGAAACCAGAACATAAATGTTTAGTTGTCTTTGAGCCATCAGACAATTTTTGTTAGATTTCATATTGCATTTTTATAGTAATAAATAATGATAGAACCAAATTAATCCAAATGTTTGTATGAAAGTTGGTTTCATTCTTTCCTTAAATAATGTTCAAATGCAAAGATTAATATAAAAATTAATATAATCACTTATGTTGCTTTATAGGTTCATTGTAGTAATGAATATTTTAAATTCATCTTGTATGAGTCAGCTCTGAACTGCTAGCTCTATGAGGTAAATTAATCTATTTTTTCTGTCAATGCTTATACACTTTATATTAATGTTAGGAGACCCTTTCATAGAAGTATTATGTTCTTATTTTTAATATGCTAGAAACCCTGCCAAGGAGATAATAGAGCTTGCACCAATGCCAGTGAAAGAATGGAAAAGCTGTAGTTGGAATTTTTTAATTATTTAAAAAGAGCGATAGTGTTGAGACTGTCACCAAGATAAACTCCAAAAGCTATTTTTCTTCCTTTATAAAAGATGAAAATACACAATGTAAGATATACCACAAATTCTTCAGCATCAAGAATTATTTTAACTATCTATACTGCATAGTCTCTTTCTTCTGTCTTCCTTCCTTTCTTTATTTCCTCATTCTCTCCCTCTGTCCCTCCCTCCCTCCATTCCTCCCTCCCTCTCTCCCTTCCTTCCTTCCTTCCTTCCTTCTTTCCTTCCTTCCTTTATTTCCCCTTCCTTCATTTTCTTCCTTTCCCCCTTTCTCTTTCTTTATTTTCTCCTGTTAAACTAGTTTATACCAATTGCACAAAACAAATTTCGTTGTGATACCATGTGAGTGATTTTCTTAGTTTCATTTGCATTGCTGTGGAGAGACACCAGGACCATGGCAACTCTTATGAAGGAAAACATTTAATTGCAGCTGGCTTATATATAACTTCAGAGGTTTAGTTCATTATTATCATGGCAAGAAGCATAGTGACACATAGGCAGACATGGTGCTGGAGAGGCAACAGGGAGTTCTACATATGGATCATCAGGCAGAAGAAAGTGAATGTGAGCCACTAGGCCTGGCTTGAGTATTTGAGACCTCAAAGCCCACTTCTAGTGACATACTTCCCCTACAAGGCCATATATTTTTATAGTGCCAATTCCTATGAGACTCTTTGGGCCATTTTCATCCAAACCACCACAGTGATCAGGTTTGTGAGTGCACGTGTGTGTGTGTGTGTGTGTGTGTGTGTGTGTGTGTGTGTGTGTATGTACACACGCATGTGTGTGCACATGGGAGACTTCAGGGATTGTTGAGATGAGGTTTATCTGTGAAACCTGGGGCTTCACAATTAGGCTAGGTTACCTAGCCTATGAGCTCCAGCGATCCACCTGTATTTGCATTCTTAGCACTAGGATTATAATCATGTTCCACCAGGCCTGGGTGGACTCAAGTCCACATGATTTCAAGGCAATGAACTGAGCAACTTAGACACATACTGTGACAACTGCATATATTCATATACCATAATTTGATAATATTCATGTCATCTATTTCCCTCACACTTCTTACTTCCCCCTTCCTATCCTGCATCCCCTTCGTTTTCTTTATCAGTACTCGCTTAACCTTTATGTCTTTTTTGTTGGTTAGATTCTTCCTATGGAAAAAAGTTAATACTTGTATTTCTGTGTCTAACATATTTTGCTTTCCATGATGTCTCAGAGTACCATCCATTTTTCTGCAAAATAGCATGGTATCACTCTCCTTTTTGTTTAATAATCACATGGTGTGTGCATGTGTGTGTGAGAGAGAGATGCGGGGGAGGGAGGAAGGGACGGAGGGAGGGAACGAGGGAACGAGGGAACGAGGGAGATGGGGAGTTTAATCTAGTCTTCTGTTGCTAGGCATGAATACTGGTTCTGTATCTTGGCTATTATGAGAAGTGAAGAAACAGACATGTATGAAAGTTTCTCTGAAGTAAGCTGAGATATTTCAAATGGATGCCCAGAAGCAGTAGAATTCTATCATAAGGTAGCTATAACTCTAATTTTTTGAGGACCCCCCCCTAATGATTTCCATAGTGGCCATATTAATTTACTTTCCTGCCTACAGTCTACATTTCCTGTAGCTTACAAGGTTTCCTTTTTTTTGCCTTTTAATGACCATTTGTTGTCTGTTTTCTTGATGCTAGTCATGCAGACTTGGATGTGGTGGAGTTTCATCACGGTTTTTATTTGTATTACTTTTGTTTCTAGGATGGTGCATACTTTTTGAGATATTTATTGATCATTTTTATTTCTTATTTTGAAAACTTAGTTCATTTGCCTATTTATTATTTGAATGATTTATGAATTTTTGGTGTTTAGTGTTTTGATTTCTCCATATTTTCTAGATAATTTTTTATTAAATATGAACTCAGGAGAGATTTTCTTCTATTATGTAGCCTCTCTTTTCACTCTAGTCATGATTTCATTTGATGGAGAATGACATTTTATTTTCATGCAGGTCTGTTTGTCAATTCTTGCTGTTATTTCCTGAGCTAAAGGAATCGTATTTAGAAAGTTCTGTGGAGATTTGTTCATCACATATGTAGTGAGGGATGATAATGATGACTTGGTATTGTTTGGGATAGAAACTATAGGAGAAAGTAGTTTTACTGAGAGTTATATTCAAGTAGTGTTTTTTTACTTGACCATGAATTGATGAGATACTAGAAACATCTTTCCTTCTACTTATATCTGTGCGAAAGAAACTAGGAAAAAAAGGCAAGTTGGCTCACTGGGTAAAAGCACTTTCTATGGAATCCTGACAACTTGTGTTCAATCCCTGGAGCCCATGTAAAGGTGGAAATGTGATAACTTTCAATAATGTAAGAATTTCTAATAATATAAAAGCAAAAAGTAAAAGGAACATCTAAAAAAGAATGATGTCACTTTATGCTGTGAGTTGCTGAGTTATTGAAGGTACAATAAAACATTTCTTCAGGAACATGATATATTAAACATTAGTAAAAAGAATAATTTACTTTACCATTTCTTGGTGAATCTGTTTCCTTATTTGTAAAACAAGGTTGGCTAAACTCAGAAATCTTTTGACATATCTATTAATAGTAATGAATTGAACTTATTTTGCTATTTCTAAACTTGAAACATAAGTGTAATAAAATAGATAAGATGAAAATCATGTTCAAACGTGTTATACATATCTATTCTATGCAGGCTACTAGGTTATGAACAATAATACATAGAGATTTATATTTGGAATTGAAAACAACTATAAAATGCATATGTAAGATCTTTCAGAGGAATTCTGGCATCAGGGATTAACTCTCTTTAGCACCACCAAATGTTTGGCAAATTGCTAATACTGATCAATTTGGGGAATACTCAAGATTTTTTCCAGTTTTTCATTAAAATAAACTTTTTCTTGGAAACAAGCATTTATGCAAATTGTCAGTGTATAAATCTTTAATGAAATAAACAACTCAAGAACTATTTCTTGTACTTTGGTATTATATAATAGATTTGTTTATTTGGGGAAGGAAGAAAGAGTTGGAATGTATGAAGGACAAAAGTTGGTCTCTATATATGAGTGGTGGTTTGTGATCTTCTGAGAATGAACTGAGAATGGACAGCAAAAATTAGTTGCTACAGTTTGTCCTCACCCTTTCTGAAATACAATTGAGATGTGAGTCACTAAGGGAAGTAAGACTGATCCCCAAATGAGGCAACTGAAGATTGTTGCAGCGGAAAGGAATGTGGCATGGAACAATGAAACAAGATACTCTTAATCTTTTCACAAAATCATCAGAACAATTGTACAGTCCATTAAATGTTGGAATGTTACCAACCCCATCTAGACACCCAGTAAGCCAATTGTCATCTGTCACCAAGGACATTTTGTCCTAGATACCCCAACACAACACCATGCATTTATGGAAGTCTTAATGACAAAGAATGTAGGTAAAATGATACAATATCCATGGAAAACAGGGTTAAACAGATATACTTACTGCTATTCATGAAAGTTTATTTCCAACATATTAGAGTATTTATTAGAAGCCAATTAGATGTTACTTATAAGTCCTAGTATTGGATTCTTCTCATTTTATAATATAGCTCACCGGGAAACAGACTTGCCCAAAGATGCTGAAGAAATTTGTTTTCTAGTGTGATGACTTTTACTACTATAGAGTATGGTTCACTTGACGCAACATATAACATGTGAACTGCATGTGAGGAAGAAAATCATTATGGCCACCATGGCCATAAAAATACTTTCCTTAGGTTGGTACAGTAACCATAACAACAACAAAAAACCCAGAAAACAAATGTAAAACTAAAATAACAGCCTTATTGACAAAATGAGCTGACCTGGCTCATTATAGGACAATATTAATCAACTAGATGTATTCCTTCTCATTTTTATCATACCATTTAAGAGTTCTCAATGAAAACTGTCTCACAAAAACCAAATATCATCTGTCATACCAATCACTTGTAATTGGAGTCGTATCAAAGGTTACATAATATTAACTGCATTTTCATCCCTTTCCTAAAGGAAAACAGCAGTTAACAGTAAGCATGTTGGTAGATATTTGCTTTCTTAAGTATATTATTTCTATAAGAATAGTTGTTATTAATGTTTCCTTGTTACTGAAGCTGCTACTGATTTCCCAGTAATTCTTTTCCAATTCCCAAATAGTCTTTGCTGTCTTTATGGTTATGATAACTATTCTTGGTTTGTCAACTTAACGATATCTGGAATTAACTAGAATAAAAAATGGGGGCCACACTTGTGAGGGATTTTTGCTTAATTTAAAGTAGGAATATCTACTTCTAATCCAGATCTTGAGACACACTTCTAATCTGGGCCACACTTTCTGCTGGAAACCTATGTAAGGACATGGAATAAGGAAGCTTGCTCTCTTTGCCTGCTTGCCCTCATCTTTGCTACCAAGACCATTCCTTCACTGGGATTAGAACCTACTTCTTCTGGACTGAGCAACTACTGGGTTCTTGGACTTGCTATTCACATTCAGCCATTGTGTGACTCACTAGACCATAGCCTTTAAGTCAGCAGTCCTCAACCTGTGGGTTGTGAGCCCTTTGGCAAAACTCTGTCTCCAAAAATATTTACATTACAATTTATAACAGTAGCAAGAGTATAGTTATGAAGTAGCAACAAAAATAATTCATGGTGGGGGTCACCACAACATGAGGAACTGTATTAAAGGGTCCCCGTCATCCATATCATTAGGAAGATTAAGAACCACTGCTTT